GAAGGGACCAGGTCAACGGATCATTGATTCAACTGTTGGGTCACTGGTCAGACTGGTAATATAATAAATAATTATAAATAATAATAAATAAGCTAAAACATCACAATAATTATAAAAATAACATAAAACATGTAAAGTTAAGTTGAGAAAAATCATCAAACATATATCCAATTTCAGTGTATTCAATTTTGAATATAACAACTTCCACTCCAATAGCAATATGATCCTAGTTACATTTATAGTTTGATATGTATTTACATATATGACAAAATTGAACAGTCATTTCAATGCTTGATGTTCATCTGAAATTTCTTAAAATTCAACTTAATTGAGTCCTTTGAATCAAATTGAATTTCAAACAAGATTTTTACTTTTTAACATATTTGTATATGAATCATGTGACAATGAAATTCATGAGATATTTAAATTGATTGTCTTATATCAAGTTTGGATTTCATTCCATTGATCAAAGAATCTACCTCATCTAATTGCAAAATAAAAGACCCAAATTACACGCTTGTGTGTGTACAAATTGAGAGAGAGAGAGGAATTGGACAATCAATGTAACCAAATACCAAACAGAGGAATTGGATTGACCGACTGAGACAGAGAAAGACAAAGAAATAAGGGGAGAGAGAGAGAGAAAGACTAAAAAAAGGAAACTCACTGGTCACTAAACCGTGGAGGCGAGCTGGTCTGAATCGTCTGATTGTTGCTGCTTGGAGGCGAGGCGGTGGTCAATCGGCTGTTGATCGCTGTTGCGAGGTGATGGCTTTGGGTTGGTGATGGAGGTGATGTGGTGGTCATGGCTGGTTTGTCGTTAGCTTGGTGGCGAAGGCGTGACTTTGCGACTGGAGTGTGGAGTTTGGATTGATTAATTTAGGGCAACAGAACAAGCAAAAGGAGATAAAAAAAAGGGGAAAAAAATCTCAGATTTATACAATGAAATTAACCCATCCGATTTGATAAATTCGTCCGATTTTCACGGGTTCACCAATTTTTGACTGGTTCAGCGGGTTTATAGTGAGTTAAGTACACAAATGGTTTTTTATTAGAATCGACCCAGTTAGGGGACCGGTTCACCGATTATTCGGGTTGACCCACTGAGGCAGGCCGGGTTTTAAAACATTGGATAAAACAACCTCACTCCAGCCCAGCACACCCGCAGGCAAATGAACAAACAAAGGTTTTGGTAAGAACAGTGCTACGCAACCTAAAGACAAGGCTTGAAAAAGCGAAGGGTCTTTGGATAGCCGAGCTACCTGGTGTATTGTGGGCCTATCGAACCACACCAAGAACTCCTACTGGGGAGACCTCTTTCTCTCTCGCCTTTGGAACTGAGGCGGTCATCCTTGTGGAGATCAGGGTACACTTTCTAAGGGTCCAACACCATAACCCCTTCACCAACGAGGAAGGACTTCGCATCAACCTCGATTTGGTAGAGGAGACAAAGGAGATGGTTGTGATCCGCAACGCGGAGTACAAACGATGCATGACGAGGTATTACAACTCGAGGGTGAAGCCTCGTTCCTTCCAACTAGGGGACTTGGTCCTTAAGAAAATGATCCTCGCCACAAAGAATGCATGTGAAGGAAAGCTAGAGCCAAATTGGGAAGGACCCTACCTCGTAACATAGGTGGTGAGGCCGGGCACCTACAGGATCCAAAATTTTGAAAGAAAAGTCTTACTTCATCCATGGAATGCGAAGCACTTGAAGAGGTATTACCAATAACACCTTGAGAGCATCAAAGTAATGAAAGTTGGGACTTGATTTTATTTTTTGGGGTTATTACCCAATATTCAATGTACTTTTTTGGAAATTATTACCTAATGCTGCTTTATATAAGCAATAGATCAATAAAATTTTCAATGTTTTTACTCCAAAAAAATCTTTTGCATTTCATTTCAAAGGAGTATCAGTACAAAAATAAAGCCATAAACTGTTTTTCTTAAAAAAAATCAATAGTTCTAAACACTCTAACTGCTCTCACGGTCGTCCTCCACTTCCTCGTTATCCTCAACATCATCAGAGCCCCCCCCCCCCCCCCACTATTATCAATAGGCACAAAACCTGAGAAGTCAATGTCAGAAAAAGCAACAGAGATCTTCCCTCGGAGCTCCTCGAAACCATCAAGAGTTTCCAAGAAAAAAATGATTTTTTTGAAAATACTTCAAACAATTTCAAATATTTTTTAAAATCGAACTTTTTCATTTCACTTGTCAAACTTATGTTTTGTACCCAAAATATTCAACTCTAAATAATACTCACTTTGTTCTTAAATATCTGTCGTTTTACACAATTTTTTTTGTTCCATAATATCTGTCGTTTAATGAAACTAAAACATAATTAATATTTTTTCTTCTAAATTTACCCTTAACTTTTCAGTGCAATAAATTAAGTGGAGATTAAGTGTTTTTCATATTCTTTTTCTTTTTAATACGTATTGAATAAGAGTATTTTAGTCTTGTATAATTATTGTTTACTCGTGTTAGAGTTATTTAATATCTTCCTTAATTCTTATACAACAACTTTAAACGATAAACTTTTAAAAACGGATAGAATATTATTTTAAACCTCATTATCTCCCACTTCACCTGGAAAAAAAATGTACTTAATTTGCGGGAGTTGCACTAAATCAAAAGAGCAATGCTAAGTGCACAAAATATGTGCATTAAAATTGACACAAAATTATTTTTATTCATTGAATCAATAAGCCTCATCACTTATCGAACGGTTACAATTAATTTAATATAAATTTTGGTACTTAAATTTGATGTATGGTGAAGTACCCAAATCAAAATGCCTCGATAACCACGTGACCGAACTTAGGTTTTCAAAGGATCGGGAAAACATTGTTCTGACCGCCCTTTTGAACGACTTACGTCGCCTAAAGACCCCTAGTGGGGCCCTCACCTCTTTTTGCGCGTTTTCAACCGAGAAAGAGGAAGGCATTCCAGTCGCCCAACCTTATTCCATACACGACGACTTATAAACCAACCATCCGATGTCGTTTTTAACGGTTGTTAATCGAGATAAGTTATTTAAATTTAATTTAAATTATATTTGAATAAGACTTAATTTAAACTTAACTCGCATTTTAAATGAACTGTCCTTGTCATCCAATCCTTTCTATCAAAATAAGGTTATCATAGTGATAACATTATATTATCACAATCACTATGTATATCACTATTTAATAAGGAAAATATAATCACATAATCTAATAATTACTACATTGAATTAGTAGGATCATTTTGTGGACTTATTATTCTTTGTGCTGATCCTGCGTGACAGCTTTAACACTATGTTTTTGTTAAAAAGAATACTCTCTCTATTCCTAAATAGGTATCGTTTTATAAAAAATTTTGGAAAAATTTTAACGACATCCCCTCTTGTTTATCATATCTTCAAGCACACTCCCTCTAGTTTCTGAATCTTCAATAACACCATTTTTAATTTAATTTAAACATCATTAATACCCCATACCATTAAACTACTATTTCTAACAAAAAACATTCATCTAAAATACCAAAATATCCCTACATAACCTCAAATAATTTTTTTACATAAAATTTTATTAAAATTACAGCTATTAAATTTTTAAAAAAAATCATAAATAATAATTTTAATAAATAATTTGTTAGTAAATACTAATTTATTATTTACTAATTCGTAAATATAAAAAAAAAATCAAGCCTATTAAATTTTTTTTTTACATATTAAAATTTGAACTGATTTGAACTCTACCCGAGTTGTTAGCGTCGATTAAAATTCTCTTTCGAGTCGATTAAAATTTATATTTTTTTTACTTTTTAAAATTCGTGTCAATTAAAATTAGATTTATTAAAATTTAAGTCAATTAAAATTCATATATTTTTATATATTAAAATTTGAACTGATTAAAATTTAATGAGAATTAATTAAAATTTGATTTGAGTGGATTAAAAATAATTTTTAATATGCTCAAACAAAATTTTAATTAGCCCAAATTCTAATACGAAAAAAAAATATAATTTTTAATTGGCACAAATTTTAATATGTAAAAAAATAAAATTTAATTAGTTTGAATCGAATTTTAATCTGTTCGAATTTAATTACATAAAAAAAATCAGAAAACAGAAGGGGTCTCATTGAAAATATACTTATCTAGAGGGGTCTCATTGAAGATGTGTTTATCTAGAAGGAGTGTGAATGAAGTTTGTCCTCAAATATATCATGGGCAATTTAATAAAATTGCATTCTACTTAATATTTTTAATCTGACAGGGAGTGTCATTAAAGATTCAAAAATCAGGGGAGTGTCCTTGAAGATATGATAAACTAGAGGCGGTGTAGTTGAAATTTTTTCTAATTTTTTTTGTTCTATAATATCTATCGTTTAATGAAACCAAAACATAATTAATATTTTTTTTTTAAATTTATCGTTAATTTTTTAATGTATTAGATTTGGTGGAGGCTAAGTGTCTTTCATATTCTTTTCCTTCTCAATACGTATTGAATAAATATATTTTAGTTTTATATAAATATTTTTTCCTCATATTTAATATATTTCTGAATTCTTGTGAAAAACTTTAAAGGATCTATATTTAGGAACGAATGAATAATTTTTTTTAAGAAAAAACAATAAATGTAGTACCGAACAAACCCCCGCGAGTAGTGAGAGTGACAACACAACAGATGAACGAATCCACCATTCTTCTGTAGCTAGCTCGTAATTCAAATTCAAAACAAGGGGTAAAATGGTAATTTAACAAAGAACTTTCAGTTCCATCCAACAGGTACAAAAATTTCTCAAACAAACAAGAGACTCCTTCCCCAGCTGGTGTGGTCTCAAAAATCCAAATCTAACTCTCCTCTCGCACTAATGGAAGAAGCCCAGGTAAGCCAACCCAAAATTACCAGAAAACCCCAAACCACTAAGCTTCTTGTTTTCATCTGTGTCTTTGATCGTTAATTGTTTGAAATAATTTTCTTTTTCCTTTCTGGTTTGATCGTAGAAAATGGTGGCGTTGAAGAAGGCTTATGCTGATATAATTCTGAATACGGCGAAAGAAGCTGCTGCTCGTGTAATGGGGTCGGAGAGAAAATCTCTTCGCTTTCAGCAGGACCTACGCGCCACAAAAGATGAGGCGATTCGAATGCTTCTTCGCTTGAAACAGATGGTTGATGCTAAGGTAAGAAATTTGATAACTCGAATTTCGATTTTGTTTTTGTTTTTGATTGATTGATGATCTAGGTTTGATTTTGTATGGTTTCTGCTGTTTGTTAGTTTGTTTAACTGTTGTTCAATTGTTTGAAATGACACTTACTTGTTGCAAGACTAGTCATTCTGTGTGAATGCAATGACTTCTTGTTGGAAAATTCACAATCTATGTAGTGATCTTCTCCTATAATCCTACATGCTATTAGCAAAACTGTTGTGTTATTCTTTAACGCATTCGCCATTTCCGAGTTTTGAATTCAACCTAGGAGTATAGAGGCTTTTCGGTAGAGGTTTCATCTTTTTAAGAGTGTAAAGTGTGAGCTTCAACCGAATGCAAGATCATTTCTGTAGCTACACTAACATGGTCTGTACATACTGTTTTACATGACACTTGTTTGTTGCAAAACTAGTCATGTTGCGTATGCAATGGCTTCTTGTAGAAAATCTAATATCATCACAATTTATGTAGTGATTTTTCATTTACAATGGAACATGTTATAGCAAAATGGTGGTGCTAGTTTTTTCACACATTGGCTAGTTGGGGTGTTCGGAATTCTATCTAGCAGGAGAGAGGTCTTTAGGTAGAGTTCTCATCTTTGAAGAGTGTGAATTGAGCTTCAAGCGAAAGCAAGATCATTTATGTTGCTACAGTAATATGTTGTGTGTCTGCATATATATTTTTTCGTGCCTGTACCCTAAATTCATTAGGTACCAATCAAATGTTGACACATCAGCAAGTTACTATTATAAGAAAGTGTGTTGAGTTTGTGTGAACTATATGTATATTGTTAATTTTACTTTCATATGATGGATGTGCGCGATATGGCGGCATGTTCTAGGAGTATTAAAGAAGTGTTTGGGTTGCAATGGAACTCAAAACATCTCCATTTGCAGATCTCCTTGCTTTCTAGGCTGTTTTGACATAATTTGTGACATGAAAGTTGGGGGATTAGAAAAGCGATGCTTGACAAAGGGTGGGATTTGAAATAAACAGTCCAAAAGGAGTGTAATTTTGTTTTAGTCTTTAAGACCTTTCATGCTATTTGATAAATAGATGTGAGATACCAGTTAAGGAGTGACGACTACTTGACTGCAGTGTTATCAGAACCGGACCGGACCGGCCGGTCGGACCGGTTCAACCATGAACCGGGACCCTAACCGGTCTGGTTCCTTAGTTGAACTGCTTAAGGAAACGAACCGGCTAAAAACCAGAAAATCGGCCGGTTTTTAACAAAAACCGTGAACCGTTTTATAAAAACCGGACGGTTGAATGCCTATTTAAAAATTAAATTACATAAATAAATTTTTTTGCCCTAAATCAGTAAATAGCTGATTTTTTTTAACCTTATTCTTGGATAAATTATTAATGACACCCCTTCTTTTTCTTTATAATTTACTTGAACCTCTTTACTTTGTTTTAAATATAATAACCCCCACTTTGTTACTTAATTTCATTAATTTTATGGCAATTTTATGTATTTTATACATATTTTATATTTTTTAGCTAAATTATTAAGTTTTATAATTATTATATATATATTTTTATTTTTTTATTATATGACTGGTCTGACCAGTTGACCCAACAGTTAAACTAGTGAACCATTGACCCGGTCCCCTTGCCGATTCGATGACTGGTCCGGTTCTGATAACATTGCTTGACTGCTTTGAAGGTTGATAGTTGAATTTTTAAATTTTTATGAAGGCTTCCCAAAAGGAAGCTTCAAAAATGGTCCATCATCCTAATTTGTGTTTATTTGTTTGTGCTTTGTATTATCTTTGACAGGAGTTTCTCATTCTGTTGTATGGTTTTCTAGCTTTTCGAATGAGTAAAATTTTGCTTGCCACAGATAAGGGGACCTGCAACTAAAACAAGAATGGGCGGTATTAAGATTACTGGGTTTAATTTTACACCATCTGCTCCCTGAAGGTCTGGCTATGCTGAATGTGCATTTGTTTTTT